TTTCATTTCTTTTTCATTTTATAACTTTTTGTTAACAAAAATTATTTAAATCTTTTTTAATATCAAAAATTCATATTAATTTATTCAGTTGATGTCCTTTTTAAATTTCATAATCGGATTCTTTTGTATAATTTTTATTTTAACTTATTTATCGACAATCCATGCATCATGCATACAAAAGGTATCGCGCCGTAACAAAAGACTTAAGCAACGAACTTGTTTGTGTTCAGCTGTTTCACCTTATTTAACTTTTGATTGCTTGTGTGCTTTCGGCGCCTGCATTGAATTTAAAATTGTCTTAATTTGGCAACCAATTAAGTTTTTATATGTGCCAATTTAAGGACAAAAGCATGCATGTGCATTTATAAGTAGATTAACAAAACATTTGCATTTGAATATGAGTTTTGCAAATTTGTAAAAGTGTCATAAATTTGTTGATGATAAGGGCAAAATTTTGGATATAAAGTTGCAAGCATTGCTTGGAAAATCTTGGTAACATTTATTTATTTTTGAGAAAATTAAATTTATAGCCAACGGTTTTCAAAACTTTGTTTTGCTGTTGTTTTGACACAGAATTATATTTAACGTTTTTTATTACACAGAAATTTCAGGAATATGATTTAAAGCGCTCTTAATTCTTGGTGAATGTGGTCCTTATTTATTTGAGATTTTTTGCTTTCAAGCCCACATGACAAAAATACTATATAGATAAGAATTTTTCAACCACAACACTTATATTAAATTTAGCATAAACGTCCTTATGTTTGTTAAAAAATTGAGAATTACTAAATAAATAATTCTAAAAAGTCACCATAATTGAGAAATAAAAAATTGAATGAGCCAAACTGATTTTATGTAAAATATATATTTTATTTTTTAGAAAAAAAAAGATATCTATATGTATATTAAAAAAATAGAAAATTGTTGTTATACTTTTAACAATAAAGACTACAACCAATTTGTAATTAGTATTCACCCTTCTAAATACCTGCTCCTTAATTCAAGTGTTCACACATTCAGTAGTTGAAAAAAAAAGCAACAAATTTAAATAAATTCATTAGTTGTCAACGCCTCACATAGTCAAGGCGTGCGAAGTACACGCGCCGAAAAGTAAAAAAACATGCCGCTATTGTATGTTGGACAACCAAAGGCGTAAACCACATCAAAACCAGATTTTTGAACATATTCCTTTGTAATTGTTTTTGTCTTGCCGCTTATGCCTCACTAAAATATTCCTGTTAGTGCAAAAGTCAAAAGCGTGTCGCCGTACTTAGCGACGACGCGAACGAAAACCTGAAATCGCGACGAGAAGGTAGGCATTAAAATGAAGAGCGACTTCAAAAA